ACAGGCACAAGATTTATCTAAACGTCTTTCATTATGGAACCAAATTCAATCTATCACAAGGTCCCTGTACCACATGCGGTAGCGGTTTGGCGGATGCAGAACTAAATTCAGTTGGTTAGTTCGAACCTCCTGTCTCATCAGAAACTTACGTGCTCCATTTTCAGTAGACGAAGATGTAGAGGATGAAGTTGATGTTGATGTTGATGTTGAAGCTGATGTTGATGTTGATACTGATCTATCCATTTCTGTAACAGACATACAGATATATAGGATGAAAAGTTGCAGTTACACGTATAAATTACATAAATAAATAAATAAACGAAGTACTCTTATCGTCGAGGCTGGCTTTTATGTATTGGGGAAACAAGCCTTTCATTGGGTATTATATTTAACCAGTTGATCACAAGTCAGTTAATGTAGTTACCTCTTTTGTTGCTTGCAATGGAAATCGAAATGCCTAAAAAGAAATGTTAAAATAATTGAACAAATGAAATATTGATGGAACTGAAACACCTATAAATACTTTGTACTTCAATATGACAGCCATGAATGTTAATTGAAAGTGGTAAAACATCAGAGAAAAGAGATGCACGTCCGAGACGTTTACAACTTTCTTGAAACCCATGATTACAGAGATGGCAAACCAAGACTTGGGGGAAAATTAAGATTCAAACAAATGATCAGCGGATCCTGGCATGACGACTGTTTATGATAATGTCATATTCTGTTCCTTATCAGCATGTTTCAATACTAAGACAAACGAATATCGATGCTTTCATTGAGATTTCTAAACACAAAGTTACCAATTGATGCAAATATATATTTATACTTACTGATGGCGATCAGGAACAAGACAGTGACTTTGGCGGAGTTCATGATGTTCTGTTGTTCTGTGCTGGCGCTGTTCGGTATGAATATCAGAGCTTTGACTGCCTTACTTATACTGAATGCTATATACATTATGAGATATGCATTGTTTGAAGGTCAATGTTGATTGTTTTCCTATGGTGGAATCAATGTCATTAAAGGAAGAGATAAATATCCAGTATTTGTGTTTGTTAAATAGTAATGACAATATGAATGTAAATGTTATCATATACCTTGAAAAGGATACAACATGACTCTGAGGTTTGGATGGGATTGTAACTACTTTATCCCTGCTATCCGAGTGTTTTGTCGCTTTTATGTACAGCCCAAATCAAAGTGTTTAATCTATCGTAGATCCCTACATAAACAATGCAATGTGCTAGAATTATTAGGAAAATATGAAACATCTCACATATCGAGCAAAGACAAATAATTGCGTGGTTTCCCTTTCCCCCTCCCAATGCAGAAATGTACGTGTACCGCACGTGCAATACATATTTCTAATAACAGCAACAAGCGCGCGATCCGATATACCGGTTCGAACAACAGGTTCAGGATTATTGTTCAGAAAAAGTAATTTTGGTATAATAAGTTACTGTACATGAGAAACTGTATGTATTTAAGTGGAGGGTGGCTAGTATAATTGGTGCTAAAACACACTTCAGCGGAGGTTAAGGTTCCACTGATTTAACCATCTGGCCTAGAAATAAAGGAGACCAGTGAAACTGCCTCAACTGTTTCATATTTAGATCTATGTGAAAAAGGTTCAGAATGATAAAAACTGTACATAATATCGCGAGACACTTTGAATGACTTTAACTTTCCAACAGCCAACTTCCCTTTATGTCGAGCCATATTCCACCTGTCTTCATTTCACAACTTTTGGGGTACAAACGAGCTTGCTCCTTCTACGAAGCTTTCAAAGGGCGTTGTACGACTCTTGCTCAAACAATATTTGATCAGAGTTTACGACATTCAAGGCCTTAGTAAAGCTTTAACATGTGGAGAACATGTCCCAATTTGACACACGAGTGACAAAATTGATGTCTGATGCAAGTCGCTATTTTCATTTGGAAGATATGTTCCCTTGTATTTACTGCAGACCAACCGACTTGCCTGGGTGTCACCGAAGGGCAGGACAGGCTTGACGTTTCGCGAACAGCTGATATGATCACTGTTTGTGTGCTGTTTCTTTGTTTGTCGTTTAATTATTGACTTAGCAATATTCCACCTATATGACGTTGGTCTGTGAATAATCGAGTCTGAGCCAGACAATCCAGTGATTGATATTATGATCATCGATCCGAGGAATCGAACAATGGACTCTGCTTTTGGTTGGGATTTTTTATGATCGTAGAAAAGTTGATTTCAGCTTTACTTATAATTATAAAATCTGGGAGGTTGAACCTATAATAAGCATCAATAGTGGTCATTTTACGAATCTGAAAATCAGTAAAATTATACATTCCCTGTCTGTGAAGGGGACAGAAGACACTTTCCATATAATCTAGCATACACATTTAAAGCGTACGCATGTTCTGTCTACATAAGACAAAGTTTCCATCTATATCTACCAAAGCCAGGGGTGATGGCTAAGCGTATACACATGGCCGTCTGTGTGTTATTATTAATGCCATCAGTAAATAGAAATGAATCTTGTTTATGAGAACGTTATCTCTGTTAATGTCAGCGTAAACACAACACTTTGAAATATCAACTGAGTCTTAGTCTCGCCAAAGTCTCCCACGATTAGAAACAAATACACTTAAATTATTGAAATCTTATAATGCGTAGAGATACATATATTCTCTGGCAGCAAAGTGAAAAAAAAATAATATTCCGATAACTTCGTCTGTGAGACTCCATTCACCGAGTTAGAAATAAGCTGTAGCAGATTTGAAACTGTATCAATGTTATTACCACAATAACGATTCATTCGGTTGTATTTGATTGTCTAATTTCAAAAACTTTAGTCATTCGATCCATGTGGACAACAGTGAATTTTAGTCGATGTAACAGTCGCTTTCCATGGTAATCAGGTGTCGTTTGTCTGGCACTGGGCCTGGAGGTATAATAAAATGTATCCTTCTTTTGAAAACAATTACATTACCAGCAAACAGTGCCGACGCCACCAAAGAAATGAGTAATTTGAGATTGGCAATACCCATGCTGAAACCACGATGAGAGTTTCAGGAACAAATCAAGCTAGGATGTAACTGTGTTCAATGTGTTTGATTGAATGTTTCCTAACATTATTTTGGATATTTGTTTGTGCTGACGATGATTTATGATTAAGCAATTATTCAGAGAATGGTGGCTCTTGTAAACAGTTATATGCGTGTATCAATTTGTTGGAACAACATTTGGACATTGTGTATACACGAAAAACCATTTGTTATTCGTTCTGACGTCTAGATTTTTACTTCTTATATACATTAATCACAGCAGTAGTTGATTTGACTTCCTCAATATGATGAACCATTAGATTTAGGTGTGCCATTGTAAAAGAGTACGTTGCCATTCGTCAAGACATTGGTCATGGAAGTTATTTACAGACTGTATCTGTGTCAGTCAACTTCAATTTCGATACCATCAATCAGTAACCATCTGGTAACCTTTAATAGCAATTTGGCAACACTGGTAACTGTATCGCTCCTCATTTATCAATTAAAACGTTGTCTCCAACATCAACAAACTTATTCTTGTTGTTCCGTTGCTTGTGTGAGACCAGTTTATCGCGAACACCTTGTGTCATCACGGATTTTCATTGACACACTCATATAATTTCACTTGGTTGCCTGTTACGCCCAATGGTGTCGAGACTGGTTATTCTGTGAAGTTAACCTTTTATATTGCTACATTCTATAAACACCAGTTCGCCTGCAAAAGCAAAAAAAGTGCTTTTTCTTTGCCTGAATTTGCATATTTATGTTATAGGCTTATGTCATGGATAAATGTACTAGTTAAAGGATAATGATTATGACACGTATTTATAACACTCTCATTTTGAACCATTTGTGAATAATAAATAGCTGTACAAATCATATATTTATCATTCTAAATCTTAGATCTAAATAGATCTAAATATGAAATTTATGTGGCAGTTTCACAGGTCCATTTTTCTGTCTCAAATAGTTAAATCAGTGGAACCTTTACCTCCGCTAGGTCTCCGTAGGTCTTTACACCCCATTATACTAGTCTCCTTCCTATCTGATGCGTCTTTACAAATCATGTACAGTAGCTTGGTATACCTGAATTAAATTTCCTGAAAACTGTTCCCGATCCTGTGGTTCCAATCGATATATCGGATCACGAGAAACATGTGCTGTTTCACTAAAGGATGGAGATTCTAGAATATTGCTGGACATACAACCTTTAGGCATAGATCTAAATATGGAACAGATCGGGCAACAGATAGGTGGTTAAATCAGTGGAAGGGAATTGGCTATTTTACCGTTATTAAACAGTATCAGATCATCGATATACCTGAAGCTTTCATGAGACTTTTTAAACACATTCCTTTTGGCCTGTGTATATATGCTTCAGGTGGCAACAAATATTTAAATGATCTATGATGACGAAGAAAAGCTGAAGAACCTACTCCTTGATACCAATCTGAATTAAGATATCAAGGCATCTTTGTTTTAACATTCGGCTAAATGTGTTTTTATATCACCACAATCTCAAACCTGTCATAAATGGTAAAATCCTCACATGAGCTACCCAGTTTATACACCCATGCTCATTCTGTGTTTTCAACTCCATGTAGCAAGCACACTATAAATCGTCCTTTAGGGGATCCCTATCAGAAATTACTCGTATGTTTTTGCAAATGTATTTCGATCATGTCCCTGTGGTTTTGAAAGGTGTTCGTTTACCAAATATTAAAATAGTAAGGATGATTATGTAAGGTATGAGGAAATCATCTAATATACAAAATAACCTGAATAACCTGAAAAGGACCATTGCAATTGGAATTGTCCTGTTATTATGAACCGATCTTTGGTTGACATTTTTGGATAGACTGATTCTTGAGCTTCCTGGAATGTGTCATATTACTGACCAAAGCATTGCGTTTTACCCAATCACTCACAAACTCAATATCTTCGTCGACAGACAAAACCATACAAATACTGTTTAACATAGACTTTATTATTGAACCATAGTGCACAATTATGTGTTCACAATCACATATTGATGTTTGGCATGGGCTTTACATTTGTCGAGTTTTCTGAATATATCTAAATAACAGTGCTATCTACTTTACATTCCGTGTGTGAATGTAAACCAGTATATAATCCACTATGGTCCAATCAGGCGTCAAACGTGGTCTCGCACTTCAAAAGAACTTCCGTAGAAATTTAGTGTCACCATGCACCGGTAACACAATCCCAAAGTATCGGGTTTTCCTTAGGACCACGCTTTAAACATTCTGCTTGTTCACTGAGCAGGCTCTCCAACATCTGGAACAACACCATGATAAACCATTATGCTGACACCATTTTGAACCACTTGCTTTATATATATTCGTTTCCATTACCGAATTTTTATCAAAATAAAAATAGAAAATAAAATGATAAAACATGTTTTTTGTGTAAGTTCTTAAAAGGTTTCTCGGTAGAATATAATAGAATAAAATATTATTAAAAGCACCCTTGAATAAATAATGGTCAGTGGGGTTCTATTTTCACATTAACTTACTTTTCTGTTTTTCTCAACTGACTCATACTTCTACCTTTTTTCCATTTGTGAACGTCGCCGGATGCGTAAATTGAGTAATTTAAACTGAAATGACTAATACACCATTTGAAAAAATATTCATATTCTGTGCGAAACAGTGTCAATGGTTTGACTCCTTTGCGAGAGCAGGGCAGGTTGCATTTTGTTGACATCTGAATCATCTGTACATGAAATAGGAATTGTGATATGAAAATAATAAGATAAGCTATTATATGAATTAGCACCTGTTCTGACACAGGATACTTATTCTGTTTCTTTTAGAAAATCTCGGCTCACCGATAACTGGAGGATCGACCAGAACTGCTGCACCGTCCAAGGGGATACAACCATCTGATGTATGAAGAAAGAAATATTCCTTGCTGTAGTTAAACATTGACCCCAGCACAATGTGTGCTTTCTAAGAGGGATGGGATGTACTATGGTTGAGCGCCATTACCACATTGTGAACATGTTCCTTGACATGATTACCCTTTCCGCGAAAACTTGGTGTGATCACTGATTTTCAGTGGTCCATTCATATAATTTTCACAGCTAGTTTTCACTTTCGGTCAAATGGAATCTGTTTCGGCGTATAATCTTGATTGGTTATTCTCTTGCATTGACAGTTAATATTAACAAGAGTATCTATGACAGGAAAGTGACGTTGTTTTTCAAATATTTGTTTTTAAAATCCGAAGCAAATGTCAAAATCCGTCATTGGTGTTTTATAAGGGCATTACAAACTACCTTGCCAAAGTTGATCCTACTCTGGAACCTTAGAATCAGCATGGTGAATTTCGATATACAGTTTGTATTATTGAAAAGACCTTACCTCCGACGCATTCTTGTCCTGGAAGGAAATAATATTCAAAATATGATTTACATTAGGACTGTGGTGCCATGTTATCATCATAATGGTACATGTATTTGCATTCACTTAAGCGTATGTGCTCTTCAGTTTAAAAACCAACCGATGCGTATGGTCTATGTTATACTTTAGGTTACTGTTATTCCATTTATTTCTTTTGCATTCATGACGGATGATACTTTTCAAGTGAGGTAGGTGCTTACCGTTGGCTCCGAGAATTGAAGGTGCAAATCCGGCTGGAATAAAATTATCTTTACTTGATAAATCGTCATACGTTCATGATGAAACACCACAATCCCACGATATAAGTACATCTCATATCATCATCACTGGAACCAACTGCTTAACACACTTAAGAAAAATCACGACCTGACAATTGAAGCTGAGGCTGGCGAATTGGTACAGAATGTATTTTGTGTGTGTTTCTTTTAGATTCAGTATCAACAAAGAAATGTTTATGACGATTATCGTTTGTGTACCGTTTAGACGGTGTTCTGTCACATTTGTCCCTCATGTCATACTTTTCTGAGATATGGTCAGAAAAGAGAAACAATTTTAGTACCAAAGCTTTTGATTCACTGTGTCAATTATTCATTTTTTTTGCTCCTAATAGTAAAACCATGAAACCATCTCAAAGTATTAATATGTTTGTTTTTCCTATTTGCCATCAAAGCAACGGATTAGAGAGAAAAGTTTACGTTGCCGCAAAATTGCGATGAGGTTTTTCATCATTGTTTCAACTGCATAAAACAGGCACAAGATTTATCTAAACGTCTTTCATTATGGAACCAAATTCAATCTATCACAAGGTCCCTGTACCACATGCGGTTAGCGGTTTGGCGGATGCAGAACTAAATTCAGTTGGTTAGTTCGAACCTCCTGTCTCATCAGAAACTTACGTGCTCCATTTTCAGTAGACGAAGATGTAGAGGATGAAGTTGATGTTGATGTTGATGTTGATGTTGAAGCTGATGTTGATGTTGATACTGATCTATCCATTTCTGTAACAGACATACAGATATATAGGATGAAAAGTTGCAGTTACACGTATAAATTACATAAATAAATAAATAAACGAAGTACTCTTATCGTCGAGGCTGGCTTTTATGTATTGGGGAAACAAGCCTTTCATTGGGTATTATATTTAACCAGTTGATCACAAGTCAGTTAATGTAGTTACCTCTTTTGTTGCTTGCAATGGAAATCGAAATGCCTAAAAAGAAATGTTAAAATAATTGAACATATGAAATATTGATGGAACTGAAACACCTATAAATACTTTGTACTTCAATATGACAGCCATGAATGTTAATTGAAAGTGGTAAAACATCAGAGAAAAAAGATGCACGTCCGAGACGTTTACAACTTTCTTGAAACCCATGATTACAGAGATGGCAAACCAAGACTTGGGGGAAAATTAAGATTCAAACAAATGATCAGCGGATCCTGGCATGACGACTGTTTATGATAATGTCATATTCTGTTCCTTATCAGCATGTTTCAATACAAAGACAAACGAATATCGATGCTTTCATTGAGATTTCTAAACACAAAGTTACCAATTGATGCAAATATATATTTATACTTACTGATGGCGATCAGGAACAAGACGGTGACTTTGGCGGAGTTCATGATGTTCTGTTGTTCTGTGCTGGCGCTGTTCGGTATGAATATCAGAGCTATGACTGCCTTACTTATACTGAATACTATATATATTATGAGAAATGCATTGTTTGAAGGTCAATGTTGATTGTTTGCCTATGGTAGAATCAAGGTCATTAAAGGAAGAGCTAATATATCCAGTATTTGTGTTTGTTAAATAGTTATGACTCCGAGGTTTGGATGGGATTGTAACTACTTTATCCCTGCTATTCGAGTGTTTTGTCGCTTTTATTTACAGCCCAAATCAAAGTATTTTTTATCTAGTGTAGATACCTACATAAACAATGCAAATTGCTAGAAAAATTGGGAAAATATGAAACATCTCACATATCGAGCAAAGACGAATAATTGCGTGGTTTCCCTTTCCCCCTCCCAATGCAGAAATATACGTTTATCGCACGTGCAATACATATTTCTCTTGACAGCAACGAGCGCGCGATCCGATATACCGGTTCGAACAACAGGTTCAGGATTATTGTTCAGAAAAGTTAATTTAGGTATAATAAGTTACTGTACATGAGAAACTGTATGTATTTAAGTGGAAGGAGGCTAGTATAAAATTGGTGTAAAAACGCACTTCAGCGGAGGTAAAGGTTCCACTGATTTAACCATCTGGGCTAGAAACAAAGGAGATCAGTGAAACTGCCTCAACTGTTTCATATTTAGATCTATGTGAAAAAGGTTCAGAATGATAAAAACTGTACATAATATCGCGAGACAATTTTAATGACTTTAACTTTCCAACAGCCAACTTCCCTTTATGTCGAGCCATATTCCACCTGTCTTCATTTCACAACTTTTGAGGTACAATCGAGCTTGCTCCTTCTACGAAGCGTTCAAAGGGCGTTGTACGACTCTTGCTCAAACAATATTTGATCAGAGTTTACGACATTCAAGGCCTTAGTAAAGCTTTAACATGTGGAGAACATGTCCCAATTTGACACACGAGTGACAAAATTGATGTCTGATGCAAGTCGCTATTTTCACTTGGAAGATATGTTCCCTTGTATTTACTGCAGACCAACTGACTTGCCTGGGTGTCACCGAAGGGCAGGACAGGCTTGACGTTTCGCGAACAGCTGATATGATCACTGTTTGTGTGCTGTTTCTTTGTTTGTTGTTTAATGATGGACTTAGCAATATTCCAGCTATGTGACGCCGGTCTGTAAATAATTAAGTCTGAGCCAGATAATCCAGTGATTGACATCATGAGCATCGATCCAAGGAATCGAACAATGGACTCTGCTTTTAGAAGGGATTTCTTATGATTGTAGTAAAGTTAATTACACATTTACTCTAGTGGTCATCGTTAGTGGTCATTTTATGAATCTAAAAATCAGTAAAATTATACATTCCCTGTCTGTGAAGGGGACAGAAGACACTTTTCATATAATTTAGCATACACATTTAAAGCGTACGCATGTTCTGTCTACATATAGGACAAAGTTTCCATCTATATCTACCAAAGCCAGGGGTGATGGCTAAGCGTATACACATGGCCGTCTGTGTGTTATTATTAATGCCATCGGTAAATAGAAATGAATGTTGTTTATGAGTACGTTATCTCTGTTAATGTCAGCGTAAACACAACACTGAGAAATATCAACTGAGTCTTAGTTAACCTCTGTTTGTCTTGCCAAAGTCTCCCGTACTTAGAATCAAATACACCTATACGGGAAAATATTTCTTTAAAGCCTCTAAACTTTATCATCATATACGAAAACACCGTGTCGTACAATAAAATACTGCAGGGAGAATAAACCACTCGCGGCTGCGCCCCTCGTGGTTTATTCTCCCTGATGTGTTTTATTATACAACACATTATACCCGAGGCTGCGCCATTTCGCCATATTTATGATTTTAGGTCTGTCAGCACCATAGTCACGAGGAAGAGCGGAAATATATGCGCCACGAGTCAACATGACTCACAGGATGAGAAAAAGATGTTATAATTTAAAATAATGTTTTTTCTTACTTATATTCACGATGTGACCACACTGTCAGTAAGTCAGACTGAAAGTAGTACCGGTAAAAAGTGTTATTTTGTTTCATTGCCTTCATTAAATACAGCACTCCATCATTTAACATATAAATATTTGTTGATGTCGCCCCCTAATTCAGCTATGTGACGTCGGTTCGTTAATATTAGTGTCTGGTTCAGGCAATCCAGATATTAACAGCATCAAACGAGTCAATTTGGATACGATGACAGTAAGTGAGTGAGTGAGTTGGGTTTAACGCCGCTTTTAACAGTATTCCAGTCATATCACGGCGTGTCAGCTTAATGTGGGAGGAAAGCCCGAAGTGATGCAGGTCTCAGACGTTTACCACTTCGGTGAAACCCACGAGCACGGGTATGGTGCTGACAAAACTAGAAACATATTCGGGGCGAACGGCCGGGATTCGAACCCACAATCATAGGTTTCTGGCGTGCCTAAGGGACGCAACTCTGCATAGCGAATCGCGGCGCCTTAGACGACTGGGCCACCCGTGCCCCCTGGATACGATGACAGCCATCCTTACCACCCGGTCCCGTTATACTTCAAGCATTGGTTGCTAAAGACCACCCATGTTAAAAATAATAAACTCATTGTATTTGTATTCAATTGTAGACATCTGTAATCCTGAACCAGAGGTGATGCAAAAATCACGGAACCAGCTGGTGAGTAATAATTAGGTATAATTGGGTCTTTACAGCTTTCCCATCAAAACGTTGAAGTACGTTGTATTTCATGTACATCAAATTATTTCGCTCTTTTACTTGAAGATGTTGTTGAGCTAACCGTCCCAGTTGAAATGACTGAACCAGCTTGCGAGTATTCACCGAGTCATCACTGCCATTGTAGTGTTTACCGGGCCAAGTTCGGCATTTCATAATGCCTTCCCAAATATCGAGGAATCTCCAAGAATCTGGGCGTTTTGAAAGTAGGCAGGGTTCTCAGAGGAAGCAGGCAGGACTGTCTAACTCTGAATATAGGGAACATGGCGTACATATGAAATAGGAAAGATAAAGCATATGTCATTTGTTTGTTTCTATCAGGACGTTCGAAGAAAAAAAATGAACAACTTTTACCAAATAACGTTTTCTCATATAACTTGCGTTGAGTTATGATTTAAATTCATAGTTATAAATATATGTTTAGTGATGGCTTCCTCTATTTCCCATGTGTCAGAAATACATCAGAAATATTTCCTTTCAGCACAATGCGTGGAGGTAACGCTACCCGAGGGTGCTGTTTCTGAAACCCGTGTCTACTGGAAAAACCCTGACAGAATTACCACCGCCAGTGTCACCCTTATCGCTGGGACCTCGGAGGGCACATGCAGCAAAGGCAGAAACTATGTCGTGACTCGTACTGGGGGATATCTATGTTAAAGGATGCAAGGGCACATTTCAACTGTGCCCCTAGAGATACAAGGCAATTTTAAGTGCATTCACACATAGTACTATTAATTTTGTAGCAGTGGTGCAGTTTTCGACACCATATGTATCGACGTTTGTTTTCACAATGTTATCAGTCAGTATGGCGTGCAACATATCAGGCTTAACTAAAATGATAACTTGTGTCTAAAGTTTTATTCAAACTCGTTTCAAATAATTCGCTTGAAGTACACTCTTCACATAAAGTGCCTTTTTATAGCAAATACCACGAGTACCGAATGCCATAACTTGCACGTGCATTTTGCTTTACTGTTTTCCTCCATGACATATTTTAACAAGAGTGAAAACAATGCCGTTTAAGACATTGCAAATCGACAATGGCTGCGTTTTAACGCACCGTTTGTCGAATATCAATCCACCAACATTTTCCAATAACATATATCCAATTTATATACCGGATGTTTTGTGTTGTCAGGTTCAGTGAGCTACATACTACCTGTGCGTTTCTTTTTTTGAAGAGTGTATGTTGGAATGATCAGCCCGCATTTTTTCCAAGACTGGAAATGTTGCTTTTTCTCCGAGCGACATTTACATTGTTTAACATTTTCATGAAATACGGATGTTACATGACAGAGGCTGATACGTTATCGGTCAGTATGTCTCTTCATGTAACATGTTCATATGGTTCACCAATTTACACCTGACTTTGTTCAACTATAGAAATTGTCTCATTTATCACAATAATACATACTACGGACGCGTAGTAGGGCCACGGTGAATTTTTTTTTTGTCTAAGTATCTCCCACGTAGGACTTAGTATCTCCTACGTCGGATTCACTAACGGAGATAGTAGAAGTCCTACGTAGGAGATAGTAAGTCCTACGTAGGAAATACTAAGTCCTACGTAGGAGATACTAAGTCCCACGTAGAAGATACGAAGGCCTACGTAGGAGATACTTAGACAAAAATATTCACCGTGGCCCTACTACGCTTCCGTAACATACTGTATTCATTTCATCATTAAATGCAGAAATTATACCCGAAATAAAATGTTATGCATTTCCAATTTAATTAATTGTACAATTCGATTGTATCATTCGATTCACCTCTGCGTGTGTTGAATGTCACCACATGCCCCATCAACATTAGTCATTCTCTTCACCATTTTCTTTGTTCAACTTCTGCGTTCAAGCGTAACTCACTCTTGGCCCAACAACACTACGGTTTAACATTTAGACATAAATAATTCACAGGACCCGTTCATTTTTCTCGTCCCCAGGGGGTTCCGTTTGGTATTGCTGTCGTGAGGCAAATATAATTACTTTCACGTTTACGCCATTCTTCATGTTTGTGGAACAACACGTTTTGAAATATAAGAAAAGGGTAATATGGTTGATTTTGGTTAGCGTTGTTTGCAAATTAACCCCGAACAGGTGTATTAATTGTATAAATAAACAATTGACAAAATCAGGCCAACAACAGGAAATCCCGTGAAGATCCGGGGTAGAATAGGTCTTCAGCAACCCATGCTTGCCGTAAAAGGCGACTATGCTTGTCGTAAAAGGCGACTAACGGGATCGGGTGGTCAGGCTCGCTGACTTGTTTGATGCACGTTCATCGTTC